ATTATGCAGAAGATTGAGAAAAATAGAAATCAGGTGGGGGAAGAAAAACAGAGACGAAAGGACAAAAAGTATGACGAAGTTAAATAAACAAGATTTTCGTAATTGAAATTATTTAATGATTGACGACTGTGATTTGTAGACTGCGGATTTTCATGGAAAATAAAAATTGTCTCCATGAATTGCAAGAAATGGAAATGAATTAAAAAGTTCATTATTGTCTTAAAAATTTTATTACATTTTGTAATCTCTCTACCATTTTAAATCGAAACTTTTCACTTTTGCCATATCGAGATGCATAAAATCCGCGGTCTAGTGATTACATTGTATTATATTATTTCACTTTTCCAAGAATATAAAACAAACTCTCGGGCAACATAAATGACTGTTATTTTAAATACTTTAATCAGGTTGTTTTGAGACAAGCCGCTCTTCGAGTTGTTTACAGAGCGTTAATGGGGAACGGGAAATTGTTGTGCAACATATTCCCGTCGATCGATATTACGCGAAATGTAACAAGATAAAATTTTCGACTACAATTTGAATGTAAATTACTGTTTACGCTTAAATTACTCTGAACACGGCGCGCCGCTGCATAAACATCCGCAGTATATTTAAAATTTAATGAACTGAAGCTATGCACACCGGGTAATATTTTCTGCAACGTTCTAGCATAATCACGTAGTGTCTTCGAGAACGGAAATAAAGGTTCGTTTACTTTCCCTCTGCAAATTTATCTTTAGAAATTTAATTTTGCAAATACAGCAACGAGGTAAACATCTCACTCTACGCGTAGCGAATATTCTTTTATTTTGTTTATTTCGAAATAACCTCGTATTTATCGAATAAACGATAAATTGTTTTTTTCTTTTATTTTGATTATTTTTGAACGTTGTATTTATCGAATAAAACATTAAATTGTTTTCTTTTTTTCCATATTATTTATTTTTGAATGAAAAGATTCGATTGCACTGCCGATTCTACTACCCTAATTCATGGAAGATCGAAGAATTTCGTGAGCTATTTTTAAAAACGCGAGAGACTGCGGAGAATTCGTCAGAAGGTCCGAAACTTTGCAACGTGCAACAAAAGGAGCCAGACAGAAAAGCATCGGAGATCAAGAGGGCAAAGGGTGTGAAAAATCCAATAGTCCGAAACGATGGAACTCACATAAGAGACACCGGCGAAAGATTATGAAGAAAAGAGACGAAGTGTTCGAAAATACAAGGTCAAATGGAAATCGTCGCTAAATGTTAGGACGCCTGGAAAGTTTGAGGCGTTTTCTATGCAGTGTACTTGCTGTTCTATTATTCTACGATAGAGAAAGTTTTCCGGAAACGTCTGGCATACTCCACTTCATTGTTCCAATCTTTTGAAAGCACAAGCGAAGGAGTACACACGCGAGAACGGTGTAGACTTTGGTGTTATATTGAATTCAATTTTTCAAAGAAACTCTGATCAGGAAACTTTCGAAGGAAATTACGCGTGATCGTACATGTATTTAACCCTAGAAAGATAACCATATGACAACGTACGTAAAAGATAAGCATACGCTTCAGAGGCGCATGCTTTTCTAAGGCGTCAATTTTATACTAACAATGGATATTTATTTAAGTTAATCTAGTCATTTTAAAGGTTTGGCATTATTGTAAAAATAAAATGCATTTATATTATATTTTTTTATATTTTAAGTAATTTTAAACTTAAATCACT